TTCCAATAAAAGGTGGATAGGCATGTTTTGGTATAAATGTGGAGTGGATGAATAAACTGCAGTGCTTGTGCAGCACAGTGCGGTGAGAACTGAATGTACTTGCATAAAAGTATCTACAAATACATAAACACAAGGAAAGAGCCTGCAGCTCCTGGTGTTAGACCCACCTGTATGGATTTGGTTGCAGAGCACACACCTGGAGCTGCTACTCCAGGAGAATTCTGCTTTTAGACTGTTCATATTGACAGTTGCCTGTCAGTATTTGGAAGTTAGAACAGGGGCTGAATATAAACAGAAAATTTAACTGCTGAAATTCATGTGGATGTTTACTGTGGGTATTTGCTGTGCTTGACTGCGATCTGATACACTCTAGAGCTGTAGCTCTGTGTCATGGTTGTTGGAAGTGACAGCATTAGTGCAAGATATCCCATTTATTTGGTCAATAAGTCAGTGACGTGGGAGGATTTGTGTGATTTGTGGCCTGCTGAAGTAATTATTTTCATTTGAATAAATGTCCAAACTGCATATTTTTTAGATGAATGACCACTTTATTGGATCATTAATCTGAGTTTCAGAAGTCTCTCATTTGTATTTCTGTAGTTGCCTGTAATAACCTCCAAACATTACAGTTGATATTTACAAAGGCCCATGAGCTGTTAAGTTTGCAATCTACATGTTAAGCAGCCTCTGGCTGTAGAGTTTTCATTCTGTGATGAGTAGCTAAGAGGTGTTCTTGTTTATATATTTTTCCTCTCTTGCTAGGACCCTTATGCGTACTCACATAAGACCTCTCTTTAGTGCTTCAGTGGGGAGTGTGAAATGTCTTTATGAAGAAAACATGTAGAGAAATTTCTCTGTCTTCTTCTTTCTTCCTCATAGATATTTTAGACAGGATACATGGTTGTGGAAAAAAAAACAAACACCTGACAGCATAGTTTAAAAAGAATAGTCTTATTAGCCCATGAGCAATCTCCTTCCCACCAGTGAAGGATTGATGGTACATATGTACACACATACAGTGTGTATGTATACGTTTGTGTGGGGTGGGTGACTGCATCTTTCCAGTGTTTGCATTGCCTGCACTGGAAGAGCACTGTCCTCCTGTGCCATCTCTCCTTGCTTTGATGTAACTGGGGAGAAAAATTCTGGCATTGTCCATTCTTGCAGTGTTGTGATGAATGATGTGATGGCCAGTGTTGTTCCAAAACTTTGAACTTCTAATCAATGTAATGTGCTGGAATTGATCCTCCTTTCCACATCCTGGTTAGGATCCTCATTTCCCCATTCTCCCTTTATAGACACTGGGGAAGTTAGGGGACTGCACATATGCAGCAACTGTGGTCTCATAAGGGTTCTCATTCCAGACTGCAACTGAAGGGGATACCTCTATAGAAACACACAAACCCTGTGGAATAAAAAGCTGAAGTGTATTTAATCATTCTCTAGACTTTCGTTTTCAACAACTCATTTTTCTAGAAGAGCTTTGGAGACCTGGCTGAAGTTTTTGAATGGGAGGATGACAATGGATAGCACAGCGATGCAACCTCTCTGCTCCATAACAGAAATGGCCAAAGCTGCTATGTGTGAGCTTCTTCTCCATGCATCACTGAAGAAATGGTGATGCTTGGTTTTGCTGGCTGAAGTTTATTAGAATGCAGTTGGTAACTCTACTAACCCTGCTTTCCAGGGCTGGCAGTTCTGCCTGCTACCTGCCCATCTAACCCCTCACCTCTTTCCTATCACCATAGAAATCAATGCTCTCCCTGACCCAGCTGTGGTGTCTCCCATTGAGCACGCCTCCTGTTCCAGTGCTGGTCTCCTGAAGCTGAGACAGAGGAAACAACCCAGCTGTGGAGATGTGGGTTAGTCCCTCTTGGTGAAATGGGAATTTCGTACTGCCAAGGGAAAGTGGTTGCAACCACTTTATTTTTGGGTGCCTTAAAGCATCAAATGGGCAGGTGAAGGTGGTGTGGCTTGTGAGATCTACGTCTGCTGCTGTGTTTTGCAGCCTTTTTCTTGAAAACCATGTGGCTTGGATGTGTGCCCCTTGGAGACTTTCCCTTTTCCTCCACACACATTATGGGGTGCTTATCTACAGAAGTACGTTAGCTGAGGAAAATATGTTCTTTGTATTAAAAATGAACTCATACTCTCCTTTCATAGTTTATTTTTAACAAAATACCTTTGGCTGCACCTCTGCTTTTTTTTCAGTGTTTAGAGATGGTTATCTTAACAGAAAATTCCCCATTGGAATAAATTCATGTGGTTGATGCTGCTCTCGTTTCACAGCACATGAGCTGGCTTCAGCTTGGGTTTATTTGGGATTTTTTCTGCTCCATGTGCAGTTAACAATAAGCTGTTTTCGCAATACATTAGTAACCTACTGGGAAGTAAGACATCCTGGCTAAGTGATTTATTTATTGCAATTAAGTAATGCAGAAATTCAGAACCCATAAACCTGAACATGCTCGAGCATATTTCTGTCATCCAAATGTATTGTTCATAGCTGGGAATGCTTTGTCAACCCAGCTTCTGATTCTTTTTCCTTTTTTCACGTTGCCTAGAGACTTTTATGCCACTGAGTTACCTGAAACTGACTTTGCCCTGGCTGTTCTCCAGGCTGGGGCAGAAGATGTGCTCTGCATGGCTGGGCCAGCCCTTTGCTGGAGGGGCATTGCTGATGAACCTGTGTCTAGAACTATAGAATATCCTGAGTTGGAAGGGACCCACAAGGATTGAAGTGAGGATGCCAGCAAGAAGCAACAAGTAGCAGGCTGTTGCCACTCAGTCGACATAGAGGAGCTGGTGGGGACAGCAGGAAGCAAGCCCTTCCCACGCCCTGAGAGATGCTGGAAGGAAAGCTTCCCATGCTGGAATGAGTCGTTGCCTCCTACTTCTGAAAGGGGACAGGAGAAAATAGTTGCTTTGAGAGACTTAAGTTCCACAGTGGGTGTGGGCTTTTCCCTTAGATCTGGCCCTTCAGATCAATCATGGTGTAATTAATCAACATTTAACATTTTCAAAGCAGCACGCAACTATTAGCTGCTGACACAGACATTTTGTCTCCAGCATTATTATGGGTTTCAGTACTACTTTGTTGTGAAGAGTCTAAGTTTTGAAGACATTACCAGATAGGCAGGGATGGGAATTTCTGTATGCAAGCAGTGCTGTCCTGAGCATGTTTTTTTGTTTACCTGGAGTAGCTTTCACACTCAGGAATTTCTGTAAAATCTCAGAGAGTTAATGGTTGTCTTATGTTCATTTAAGGCCACTACTCAGTTCTTGAGGTGTTTGCTTCTTCTATAGCTGATACAGTAAATAGACAGTTTATCTTCTCTTGCAGTGTGAGTTCTTGGATTCAAAAATAGACAATGGCAGAAGCAGTGATAAAGAAATAGATGTACAGATGAAAGGTAATACAATGCTTCTTCATCTCATAAAATGCCTAATGTAGAAAATTGGCATTCTTTGTGAAAGTCATCAGTGATCTTAGCAATGATAGGAACCCTGTTTTCTAAATTCCACTGAAATAAAATGTGCAGTGAAACATTTCAGAATTGTTCCTACTGAACACTTTGCAAGGTGATGCTTTGAGGTGTACTGAAGAGATGCGCGCACAAGCACACTTGCATGTACGTTTCCTAGGGAAGGAGTTAGTTCTCGACTGTCCCCTTCCGAATCTTCTTTTAGAGATGTATATGGGTTAGAATTCTAGGGAATCACTTGTTCTAGATCTCTTTTGTTGTACAACACACTCTAGTATGATCTCTTCACTCTTTGAACCTCTTTCAACATACATTCTTCTGCATCTTCTAGGAGAAGCCTATTTCTCTTTTCCTGAAATGTTTCACTTTTTATTTCTGCCAAAGGATGATCAAACGTAGCTCAGTTATGTGTAAATATTCTTTTCCTCTTCTCATTTCACTTAGAATTTTAATAAGACTTCTGTTGGGGATTTACTTTTTTTTTTTTTAAATTTGATTTTACTGTCAAATTTGTCTTTTTTATTTACTTCTTAAGCTATATATCATCCATCTCTCTAATTAAAGTTTTTCTGTCCCTCTGTTCACTTGGGAATTGTCCTTGACTACACTACAAATTGATTTTCTTGTGAATGTTTTAAATTCTATTATTATATAGCCAGACATTGGAAATTGTCTAAAAACACTCAGCAGGTCTTTGGCAAAAAGAGGTTGGCTGTCCTATATGTTGTCACCTGGAGAGATTACAACTCGTCGTTTCTTTTGAGGGGAGCATGTTGTATATAACAGTTCAGTAATTCTTGTTTCTGTTGCAAAAATGGCACCCATTACAATCTATGAATTTGCCTGTTACAGCTACTTTGTTGTACTGAGTGGAGTTAGAAGTGGTTGAAAAGTCTGTGCTCCAGGGGGACAGAACTAAAAGAATCATGAAGTCCCTTTGTGCATGGACATAAAGCTGGATCTGAGATTGTAAGGAAATGTCCTTACATGAGCATGTCCTTACTTGAGTAGAATATCCCTTTTGTAGATTATCATCAGGACAAGGGGAAATAGTTCTAAGTTGAGGGAGGGGAGATTTAGGTTGGATGTCAGGGGAAGTTCTTTACAGAGAGAGTGGTGAGGTGCTGGGACAGGCTGCCCAGAGAGGTTGTGGATGCCCCGTCCCTGAAGGTGTTTAAGGCCAGATTGGATGGGGCCCTGGGCAGCCTGGTCTGGTATTGAATGTGGAGGTTGGTGGCCCTGCATGTGGCAGGGGGTTGGAGTTTTATGATCCTTGAGGTCCTTTCCAACCCTGGCCATTCTGTGATTCTGTGATCAGGATAAACTATAATGTTGCAGAACACAGAGAAGGAGTCTTCAGCCTTTCCTACACTGATGTCTGTCAACTGTTGCTATTGCAGGCTTGCTTTGAGTAGAGAGATACATAGAAGAGAGAGAAAAATAGGATACAATTCTGGTCAACTTTTATGCATAGAAACTCACCTTGATTTGTTGTTATTTTCTTCTCATTCACAGCATGGTCGGACCCCCCTGCATCTTGCTGCCCACAAGGGTCATCTCCATGTTGTCCAGATCTTGTTGAAAGCAGGTTGTGACCTGGATATTCAGGATGATGTAAGTAGATACAACCTCTGTTGTTCCATCAGTACTTTTGCAAATGAGAATAGGCCTTCACTTTGAAGTAGGATTAAAAGAATACAAAATCTGTCTCTATATTTTCAAATTTGGAGATGCAGTCTCTAATTTGGAGATGCAAAGTTGCATGGGAGGCAAAGTAAAATGTGGTGTTTTTCAATGAGTTGCTTGCTCCTCCTGCTCCAGCTGTGGAGCTTTCTGAGCGCTCTGGTTGTGCCAGGCTGGTGCGAGCAGCCTGAGAACCATTGTCTGCTGTTCAGTACAGGGATTAAACAAGAACTTGTTGTACCGTATGGGGGACCACTGGAGGACATCTGGTAGGGGACGTATTTGTTGTGATGTTTGCCTGAAGTGGGGGATGCGTTTGTATAGACATGTGCCTCAGTGTATTGGACAACTGCCTAGACACTCAACCTACTGACTGCCATGGTTGATGGGGGACGGTCACATCTGTCAGGCTGTTGTATGGTAAAGCATCAGCACAATGCAACCAGCTTTGAGTTTAGCAAATGGTAGTTTGTTTTCATTCAGTAAAATACGTAATTTATTGGAACTTGATGGTTTTCCATAGAAATGGATCTAATTTTGTTCCAGACTTTAAGGCTTTTTGGAGGGATGGGTAGCAAGGTTTTAGTTGCCTTATTCTGATGAATGAAAATGTAGTTTAATAATTGTGATTTCTTCTAGATTTGTTGCTAACTTCTGATGTAGACTGACACAAATTTGAGGAAGATTTGCTTTATTTCCCTCTGTAGTAAAGAAGGTGTAGATTTTTCAAGGGACTTAGAAATCCAAGCGTGGCTAGTAGAGGCACCTGTATGATTAAAAAGACACAGAAAATGTCTAGGTGCCTTTTGAAAATCCATTTAGGTATTTATTTGCATACAGAGGTCCTCAAATGTCTGTAGAAACTGGAAAACTGATTTCCTTCTCTACCTGAGTAGCTGCTTCCCCATGAGATGGGAGCAGTCTGTGTCTGGCAAGGGGTACAGCTTTACATCCAACTTTGTTCTGGGGTATTTTTAATTCTAGGAAGAAACTTTGTTTCCTGCTTTCTTTGTGCTTCCACTATACCTGTCTGTGAAACAGAGAGGATTTGCAAGTGTAATGGGAGTGTTTGTTTGCTCAAATGTATTCTGTTTTTAGACATCTCCCAGTAAAAATGATTCATCAGGTGTTTAAGAAAAAATTGCAAGTACCTAACAAATACCGTCAGTGTTCCTGAGAAACACAGGTTGCTGCTCTAGTACTGCAAGAGCTTCCACTGATTTGCTCAGATTGGGTTTCAATGAAAACTGCTTTTTGAGTAAGTCTGTTTTCCTATTTATTTATTTATTATCAATCCTCTAGTCATAAATTCTAGGCTATTCATCTGATTCATTAGCCATAAAGGAAAATAGTAAATCAGTGGTTAGCACCATTTCATTTTAGTGAAGAGCCTTCCCATGCAGAAACATTCAGCTCCTAGAAGACCGTATTTCACTTGCCTACCAAAATCTTCTCAGGGGCTTTGTTCACAGCAATTGGATCTGGCTCCTTAATTTGGTGACTGATCTGAATAGAATAGATCCGTGCTTGAAGTTGTTTCCTAAAAGGGTAGTTTGGTTTTTGGCTCGGTATTTAGTACCAGTCATCCAGTTTGAAACAAGGAGAGCTTAGGTAGTTGCTTTGTCTTAGAAGGTGGGTTTCAACTTGTCTTGAAGGAGGAGGAAGTGAGCATTTTTGCTTGTGAAAGGTATTAACTTAATTGTTTCTGCTTTCCTTTTACATAGGTCTTCAAAGAAGGTTCTTTATGTTTTCTCGTTGTATAATTCATTTTTACACTTTATTTAAGCCATACAGAAGTGATGATATTCTTTTTAAATTGCCATCTATCAATTATGCCTCCAATCACTTTTACTGTTTGCTTATTTGGCAGTGAAGGCATTTTAGCATCAAATGTTGATTAACATGATTTAATTTCATTTCAGGAATACATATTTAGGTTCAGAGGTGAAAATATTCATGATGGTGAGGGGATCATATTTCACAGAAAATTAAATTATTTATTTGACTGCTGTCTGTAGAATTATGGTAACAGAAAGAAAGTTCTTTAAGTTCTGAAAATATGATGCATGTTTCCTCTTAATACCAAGAAATCACCAAATATTTTGTTTTGGAGTTGACTGTAGCTAATAAATCCAGTACTAAATTTTCATCTGCTACATGACAAGCAGAAGCTTTAAAATTGATGAATGCTATGGAGAGATTCAAAGACTAACTTCGTGTTCTACAGATACATTCTTTAAAGCACAGCAAGAGCCGTGAGAATTAGTTGAAGAATGACCTCCAGTGGCCTGGAGTGGGATTATTATGAATTTAATCCGGCGGAGTCCAGCTCTGTAGAGTACGCAACCCCGGGAGCTAATTCTTTCCTTCTCCTTGCCAATACTGAAAGTTCTTACTGGGATCCCAATGCAATCTCTGACTGGTCAATGAGTATTCATACAGCTCACACCTCAGAAATAGTCAAGGAGAAAGTTGTCCATGTGAAGGAAATCAAGGACGAGAAAGATAAGAAAAACCAGAAGAGAAAGGCTAGAAAGGAACCTAGAAGATCAGAGAGAGAGAAGGAGGTTAGAAACTTGTGCATCAATCCTGCCTTGAGCTTCACTTCTCCGTGGCTGCATGCTGCAAAATCTTGGACTGGCAGCCTGGCATGACAGCTCTTGGAGGTGCATGATTGCATGGCGAGCTTTGCGCTGGGTGCTCTGCGTAGTTTCCTGCCCTGTGTGCACTCTCTGAAAGTTTAACTAGAGAAAAAAGGTTACCTTTGGAAGAGGCCCTGGAGTTTCTCTTCTGGAAGCTCCAGTTTAAGAAGCAGAAAAATAATTTCAAATGAAATAATCCAGGGTTCAAAATAATTTCTAGGTGAACGTAAATATATGAAGTGGCTTATTCCTGTACTCCCATTTAAGTCTCATTCAGTGTCATTTAAGCTTCAGTTTCTTTCATTCATGTTTATTTTCTTCATGCCTTGATCAGTTGTGCTGGTCGTGCATCATCATTTGTCATCCAGAATGCAATTCTCCCTGCTGTGTATTTGTGATGACTGTTTTTCTTCAGCAAAGGAGGGGACACTGGCACTGGGAAACACTAGGGTGTATTTAGTTGCCTTTGTATCCAACTGCATCAGAATATTCAAATATGCTTTGTGTTCCTCAGACTATTTTTCCCTTGGTTATGTTTTCACTTTCAAATGTTTTAAGCTTTCAACTGTAAATGTAATGATATAATTTCAAAGTTTAACACTTTTGCAAATGCCGTCCAGCTTTTTGCATCAGAGATTGAACGCATGAGTTTTTTCTCTTGATTCTGGTGCACTTCTGTAGCAAAATAGTTTGATGATTTCTGATAACGTGAAAAGACAGGGAGGCATTTTCAAAGGAGTCCAGGAACTGGAGGATGCTCTGGAGAAAAGGAATGTGTAGGAATACAAGATGTGGTTAGAATACTTTTTTTTAATCAGAAAAAGGGAAAAGTAAAACATATTGCAAATTACTGTAAAGTAGATCTTATTGAATTGAGGGATTAGAGTCTATAATAATGACTCCAATACCTCTTTGCTATTCCTCTATTGTGTGTGTGACAGAGGCAAGAGAGCTGGAAGAATTACTAATAACTACTTGAAAGTCTTTTATAAATTGCTTGCTTTATTTTCTTTCCTGTGGAGTGAACTTCAGATATGATACAGACAACTGCTCCTGTGTGTCTGGTGCCGGTGGTTGCATCCACTGCTTGAAGTTAGTCATCAAATTAGGAAAGTTTAGGAGCCTGGAAGGCTATCCTAAACACCAGCTGGCCTTGCCAACACTAAAGTGCTAAAGGAAATGATAATGACAAAATCCATGGAAAAGGTCAATGTGTAGATATGTACCTTTCTTCAGGATTCACAACCTGCAGCCCTCTGCTGAAAGCAGTCATTCAAGCTCTCAGTCAAGAACACGGTTTCATACTTTGGAAACATCCTCAGGCCTTTCTATGCAATAGCTCTGTTGTATATGAAGAACTCCAGATGTACAGTCCCTCATTCTTTGCCCAAGGAATGCAAACTCATGTTCCTGGTCTCCCGCCAGCATCTCCCTCTCTCTAGCCCACTGAATACAGATGTTTTTCCTGATGGTGGAGTGACTTTGACACAGAAGTGCTCTCATGGCAAGACAAGCTGGGTGAGTCCTATAACCACTGGCACTGGTTCCAGCAAGCGTGCTGAGAGTTGAAGGGGGAACTCTTTCAGGCGGGCTGAGCAGGGCACAGCATGAGGTTCACAAAGGCCTCTTGGGCTCCATCCCAGCTTTGATGCCTTGTGGTGCTGTGCAAGCTGCAATGCCCAAGTTTTCATTGCTTTCAGGACTAGGCAGCAGATAAGGCAAAGGATTTGAGAGACACTGGTGCCTTACATCTCTACATCTATGTTAGATACTTTATATCGACCACATCTCACAGAAGCACCTCAGTGTCCTTTTGGCTTCCAGCCTGTGTCTGCATTTAAGCAAGGTTGATTCTTTTGTTTCTGTCAAGGTCACATCTGTGTAACACTGGAGTTATCGCTCCTCATTGTTCCTGGTTTGCAGCCTGTTCCTAAGGTGTAAATCACCTGCAAATAGAACCATAAACTGTGCCCAACATAATAGCCTGGGCAGCTAATGTACACTTTCAGGTGATAATTTTTTCCTTTGGCTGTCTAGACCAGTCCCTTAATGCCTTGCTAAAGGTGGAACTCTGGTGAACACTTTCAGAGACAGTTATTTTAGCAATTTAATAAAAAAGATACATGAGTCAGTGATTGCACTGCCTGAATGTATGGACTCGGAAAGAAATATAGCTCTTTTACATCTGGATCCATAAAAGGCCAGGCAATGGTTTGCTCCTCTACTAATGGGGAGGAAGGATAGGTTAAAAATAGAGTGATGCACTCGGTATCACTTTATTCCTGCATTATGTGACTTATGCCTGGGCTACTCAATAGCTCATGACACAGAAGGAATTATGATCTATTGGTTCAGCTTCCCTGGCATGCAGTCAAAGTGTATATGCTGAGGTGTGAGGGAGTGGTTCAGAGAACCCTGCCCTAGTGGCTAAGGTTGTGGCGACTTCAGGGATCTTCCTGAATTTCACCATCTCTCCTAGGACAGGCAGACCTGAGATGTCCTCTGACACTTCCTCATGTGGGAATGAGGTATTTACAGACCTGGGGACCAGAATGCAGCATAGGGCAAAACCTATGCATGGCTCCCAGTGCCACCCCCCTGTGATAACTGTTGTGGGGCTGGGTGAATGACGAGAGCCGTCTCGATTGAAAGTGGCATGTGCTAAATCCAAGGCAATCCATTTGTGCTCCCAGTCTGATCTCTGTGATCAATTTTCCAGGCTTCAAAGAAGTGAAAAGTCAAAGCTTCCTCTGTCAGAATGGCAGATGTCATCTCTGGGGAGATCTCACTCAGCCTTCTGTACTTACGGGAGCTTATAAACAAGATGGAGACCAGCTTCTTACACAGTCTGACAATGATAGGAGAAGGGAGAATGGTTTTAAAGTAAAAGAAGAGAGATTTAGGTTAAATATTAGGAGAAAATTCTTCACTGAGAGAGAGGTGAGGCACTGGCACACCTGCCCAGAAAAGCTGTATGCCCCATCTCTGCAAGCATTGGGAGCCAGGTTGGATGGGCCCTGGGCAACCTGAGCTGATGGAGGGCAGCACTGCCCACAGCAGAGGGTTGGAACTGGGTGGGCTTTAAGGTCCCTTCCAACCCAGGCTGTTCTGTGATTCCATGATCTTGTTTTACTCCCTATAATGCGTTCTGTAGCTTTGCTGATGCTGCAGTGCTAGGTGAGTGGGACAGACTGATGGATTACTTACCAGTTTGTAGTAAGTGAATGAAATGACCTTTGAACTCCCCACGGTTCTAATTCGGGATGTTAAGTTCTTCTCTGGCTTGTTTGAGAACAGATTCCTATGCAGGAATAGTTTCTGGAAGCTGACACTGCACACGAGATAGTTTATTTTGGAGGTTTTCCATAAAGTTTTGGTTATCTTTAAGTAAATACACAAGTTCAGTGAACTTGCAGTGCTTTCAGTTCTGTTGTACTTCTTCAAAAAGTCCCAGTTGTTGGGACTGTTCTTTTGTTTGTTTAAATTCTCTTAAAATACATTACTGTCCTTAGTAGGGACAGGAGCAAAAGAATACATGACCTCTAAGGATGAAAATCAGGTAGCAAATTAAAATGAGCAAACAACAAAAAGCACATCCCACCCTCAGTGCATTTTTTTTAAATCAACTTCATTAAATAAGTCAATGTAATGATTTATTGATGGTGAAAGCATTACAGAGGATACTGAAAGGGATGTCAGTATAACGGCTGTCAGTTCTTGTCTTGCCCTTATGGAGTAATAACTATTTTGGTGTCATTAGCATAAGTGACACTGAGAGCACTTTTTAAATCAGTACTAATTGCCTTTGAGAACAAATGATTGAAATTATCCAATTATTTAAATACTGCGGGACAGAAAATAAGGAAATCTGTCTAGTTTTTAATATAACCCAGAATTATGTGATAAAGATCTGTAGCAGAGAAATTTTATATCTATTTAGGACAAGCTACCTGCAAACTTTCTTTTTTTTTCTGCAGGATATATTGCGTATCTCTGCTCTTCATATATTTTGATGGACATTGGGTAAGCAGATGCAGGGTGGGCACCCCTCTGTTGTACATTCTTTCCCAAAAAGGCCACGTGCAGCTCTGAAGCTGTTTTTTTTTGCCCAGACTCAAGGGCTGTGCTTCTGCATTGTGAGTTTAAAGCAGTTTCAAACAACAACCATTGTGAGAGCAGTGGAGACACTGCAGGTTGGTTTTCCATCAGTTGATGTCTTACAGCACTGCAGAAACCCTCCCCTCTTTTCTCACTGTTTCACAACATGCATGTAGCAGTACGTAGATGGTCCTGTTGCAAGGCAGGGTGAGAGGTAACGTCTGGTGTGTGAGGAGCCACGTCCTGGTAGAGCAGCACCTCCAGTGGTGCAGGAACCTCTGAACCTTCCCTGATGAGTCTCCCATTTCTGGAAGGCTTGCTGAGAATTAATCCTGGACTCTGTAGTTCAGCAATAAGTTCAATAGTTGTTAGAGGGAGACAGATGGACAGTCAGATGGGATAACTGCATCAGCATTATCTCTTTTGGAAACTTAGCAAAAAAGGAAATGAACTGATGAAGGAAACTTGCTTATCATTGCTATGTGGCAAGTAAGTGGGAAAAGAAAGTCATATGGACCTTACGTGCTTGCATGGAGGAAGTTGGTCTCACATTTGTGGTCCTCATCACAAAATTACCTCTGCTCTTAGCACTAATTGGTAACTGCATTAGAGGTGCTGAGGACTCCTACTTCATCTCATGCTTCTTATCCTTAGCAGGGTTGATGGAGCAGTCAGAGCCAGATGGGGAGAGCTTTATTTTGTTAGTGCAAGTAGTGTGGGATCAATGTGACCAATTATAGCAGCCTGTAATTCCCTTTAGTTCCACGCAGATACAGTTGGTTAGTAGATGTATGGTGCCAAATGTGTTAGATTCATAGCCTTCTAGTACTGACACATTTTTAGAAGACTTCAGTGCAGTATATAGGATTGTGATGAGTTGTAAACTTCCTAAAACAGTTGCTTTGTAGCTCTCTGATACTTACAGTAACTTCATTAATCTTGGAAACTAACGATAGGTTTATGGGGACTGTTTTCAAAGGCAGCTTGGATTTAAACAGCGTATGTGTTGATGGTGCAGCTTGTGTGTATGTGTGTTGAACGTGTTTGCATTAAGTTAAAATCAGGTGGCAATGTTAGGGATTGAAAATCTGCTTCTTTTTGCAGGGGGATCAGACAGCATTGCACCGGGCTGCTGTTGTAGGGAACACCGATGTCATAGCATCTCTCATTCAAGAAGGGTGTGCTTTGGACAGGCAAGACAAGGTAACAGGCAAAGCAGTGCATTGGAGGATGGCAGTGTTGCTAACCAGTAGTATTAAAGTCTCATAGAGGAATTTATAGTTTATGCTCCTGAATAAGTATCTGATGCTTTGAAAGCGATTCAGACAATTGCACTAAAATAAGAAAAAATCCATACAACTCTTATACAATTCTTTTAATATTAGGTACTGATTTAGTTATTTTTGAAATCAACGTGATCATTTTTGATGTAAGAATTTGTTATCTGCTCATTAATGGGGGAATTATGACCATGCTGTGCCCTACCCAAAACATTACACAGTTTCCTGTGATTATCTCAGAAGCTGAGAGTCTCAGGCTGTAAATTTGGTTTGTAAATAAATGTAATTAATTGCACGTTCCCAGGCAAAGCTTCAGTGCTATTCTTGGCTTGCTGGGACAAGTGGGAAGTAACAGAAAGAGGTTGAAGACAGATTAGGAAGGAAAAAGTACCCATGATGTCTGTGAATGTTATTTTTAATCTGGTTCATATCTGCCTCTGCTAATAATAAAATAGTAAATCAGCTTTAGGAAAGGAAAAAACTTTATTTCTTAAGGGGCCAGTGGCACATGCAGCTGTTGCAGACTTAATGAAGTGTTATTTGGTGTGTGGACTCAGTGCACTAAACTTCTTCTCTTGTGTGTGTGCTTCTCAGGATGGGAATACTGCTCTTCATGAAGCTTGTTGGCATGGGTTCAGCCAATCTGCCAAAGTACTCGTCAAGGCAGGAGCTAATGTCCTTGCCAAGAACAAGGTGAGACACGTGTAGAAGGTGCTCTCACATCTGCTCTAAGATGGTTGACTCTCATCACTGGCGATTTCTGGTCACGGAATATCTCAGTAGGTGGGAGATCAGCTCCCATTGGGATTTTTTCCTTCTTTTGCTTTTATTATGCTTGCATGGTTCCTCTGCAGTCACTGGAGGAGAGGAACTCAATGGCTCTTCGAGCACATCAATTATAGCTGAGGAACATTGCTGTGAAGGTCTCCATGGTGCTTTAATTTAACCTAGGTGCATTCACTGTGAGTGGTGTGATTTAAAATGAATATGAATTGCACTAGTTGAAATGTAGTATTCAGAATTTTTTTAGAAATTAAACAGTCAAATGAATATAAGCCAGAGAGGAAAAAAGTAAAGTATCTTTTCCTAGAGAGTTCTTCCTAATACATTAGCTTAGACTCTCAGCAAAAGCTTGTGCTGAACTTGGGTTATCCTTCTTTTGGTATTTATAGTATCTTGAGAACACTTTAGAGGAAGGAATAACAAAGCAAGGCATTTTAGTTCCTCACTAATGTTTGTGGGAGACTTGTCTTCAGCTCACTAGTTCAAAAGTAAATAAAAGTAAATAATTTAGGAAATTGCAGCAGCAGCCAATGGTAGGAGCTGAGTTAGGGCTCATACTGCTGGGTTAGGTTGCATGGGTGGCACCATGTCTGTTGCTATAGGCAAGAGGGCTTTGGGATGTCAGTGGGATCTCTGAGCATTCCACAAGCGAGAGAGTATTTCAGTAAATACACACTAAAATGACAACTGGAAGTGTTAGGGAAGAAAGGAGAGAAGTGAGACAGGTGGTGAAAGTCTTAAGATCAACACAGTTCTTTGTGTTTCTGTGTGTGCTTGTGTATTTGTGCGGCATGTAAGTATATTTTTGTACAGCTGTGGCTGTTGTGGTTTGTACTTACATCATCTTTATGTGTGTTCCTTCTTTTACATTAGTCCAGTTTCTGATTTTAACTTTCTGTAATTATTTTTTCCTGTGATGTCCATCTAACTTTGTATCAAAGGTAATTTAGACAGCTTCCCATGTTTACACGTAACACATGATAGTACCTGACTTTATAGGCTACTGACCCATTACTCTCCTACCCCTAGGTGTGCTTGTCTCTGTGTATATTTATGTACAAAGATGTGGGCTTAAGAGGCAAGTCTTGTAATCCTGCATGCTTGAATGCCTCAGGATATTAGGAAATGTAGTTTATAACACAGCATAAGTCATCTGCTTGGAGAACCTCTCCTGAAAACCATGTGTACAGAATAGCTCAGCAGTGCAAGCATCTGAGATATTGCTGGCAGCCTTTATCACTGTGTGAGGCCTTCCTGTGCTGCTCTTTGATGTCATACCTACGTAAACCTCTCCCTTTGCATTTGATCACTTGAGTGCTTTTTAATGGACAGGATCCATTTAGGAGCTACTAAAAAATGAGGGATTTGTGCGTGCTTGCACACATGCACTCACTTTCACTCCTTGGCTTTCAAGACAAATGAAGAACTTAATTCTGCTTAATCCCAAAATGGCTTCTCTGGTCTCTCAATTTCTAGTGCCCATGATGACAAGGCATCGCCTTCTGGTGGCTTTTCTGGCAGCCAGGTCAAAGCACCATGTGCAGAAGCACCCTGAGATCGCTTGGCTTCTCTTGGGGGCTGCGACTGAATGCCTCTCACCACCTTGGTGGTGGGACAGTCAGAAGTGGGCTTCTGGGTTTACCAGGCCCTGCTAAGCAGCAACGCACAGAATTTCACTGTGTGCTTCCTGTAACTCCCAGTTAATTTCTCCTGGGACTGTCTGGGGAACTCTTTTACATACGCACTCATACACACTGTGCTCAGAGTTGACCTTTTGTAATTCAAACCCTGTAGCTTTGATCAGTGTCTTGAAAGCACAGGGGACAGATTAAAAGACATAATGCAGGTGAAGAGGCAGTCTTGTGAGTAAGCAGAACCTTCCTACATGGTCTGATTGCATTTCTGGCTCCCTATAGACAAGAAACCCCAAACATTTTCAGGCCAGCAGAAGCCAAGTGCAATAAGAACCTTGCCAGGGTTAGAAAAGGAATACACAAGGCAAGCTCATGTTTTGTTTTTTCTCAGTTAAAAAAGCTGCATGTTTGTTTCTCTCTGTAACCTTTTGAGTTTTAGGCATTTGTAGCAGGTTGAGAAAGTACGCATGGACAGAGATAACTAAAGAAGGAAAGCATTCTGGAGGGAAAGGAAGCAAGGCTGCCTTGAGGAGTACCAAGGCATGGGAAATGTTATTTCTTTAAGTGCATTACACTGCTCTTTGATCCTAATTAACCAAAAGTTTCTAGATTCTTTGCTTTTGGCAGACAGACTCGAGCAGTGCAATGTTATGCTGTCCATTTTCTGATTTTACTGTGTCCCAGATAAATCATTTCCAGGATGAAGGGCATTTTTCATTTTCCAGATTCGCTCAGCTCACAGCTTTGGCTGAGAATGAGTTGCCCACCAGGGGGATGTTCTTTTGAGGTACTGCCAAGGTTTGAAGATTCCTGTCCAGTTTCTGAACATGGCTTTTATATTTCCCTGTGTTTCTCCAAGGCAGGTAACACACCTCTGCACCTGGCCTGCCAGAACAGCCATTCCCAGAGCACTCGTGTCTTACTTCTCGGAGGTTCTCGAGCAGATCTCAAGAATAATGTGAGTCTGGTTTCAGAGAGCTTTCCCCCTATTTTGTAAGAGATTTGACACGATGAAGGAATGCAGACCTCTAGGTGGAAGCCAGGCTGTTATGTCCCCCACTGAACAGCAGCATGGTGGCAGAGGAGTGCATGGGACTTTCTCTGCTCCCAGTTGTGGGAGCCCTCTGAGGCTCAGCTCCGATCCACTACCCACGTTCTTCATTGTGTGTGACACTGGGTGGGGTTTCCAAATCACACTGGTTTGGGGTGCAGGAGAGCAGATCTGGTGTAACAATGTGAATGCAGGGCTTTATAATTCCAGCATTTCTCATCAGATAGATAAAGAATTGGTGCCCGCATCTTCTGTTCCCCAGCTATTATTAAACCTTCCCACTTTTGTCCTTTGTGCTGAAGAGAAGACAGCACTGCTGCTCAGTGGAGATGTGAGGTGTTTGCTTCTTTTTGATTTATTGGGTTTATTTCTTCCCTGAGCACCATGATAAGCACAAGCTTTCATTCTACAGTGACATGCTTAATGCTTTGTTTCTGTTTGCAGGCAGGAGATACCTGTCTGCATGTGGCTGCTCGTTACAATCACTTGCCCATCGTTAGGGTGCTGCTCAGTGCTTTCTGTTCTGTCCATGAAAAGAACCAGGTCAGTGCATGAACTTCATTGCCACACTGTTTCCTTTGCATATGGCTCCTTTTTGGAAAGAGGGATTCCTGCCCAGTAGTTGCACATCACTGCGTGCGTTTCACTTTGCTACCCCATGCCTGAGCTTCCAACAGTAGCTTAAAAACAATGGTTTATTATTTTGCCATCACATTTGCATCTTTTCATACAAGCATTTCCTATTTACGAGTTTCTACAAAGGTGTGTTGGCGCAGAAAAGGATGAGGGGACATAGGGCAACATGGAGTAAGGAGATGGCAGTCTTGAATCCTTATCAGCTCCGTGCAGAACAAGATGGGCGTGGGGCTTAGCCATGTCCTGGGGCTATAGAATTGCTCAGGTTGGAAAAGACCTTAAAGATCATCGAGTCCAACCATGACCTAACCATACTACCCTAACAACCCTCCGCTAAATCATGTTCCTGAGCACCACATCCAAATGGTTTTAAACACGAGTCAGCAACCTCCAAGAGGAGCCTGTTTCAGTGCTTAACAACCCTTTCTGTAAAGTTTTTCCTGATATCCTGGAGGCCATTTCCCCTCATGCTGTCACCAGTGAGAAGAGACCAACCCCACTCTCATTGTAAGCACCTTTCAGATATTGGAAAAGAGCAGTAACGTCTCCCCTCAGCCTCCTTTTGCCCAGCCCCAGTTCCTTCAGTCTCTCCTCGTAGGGCGTATCTTTCAAGCCCCTCGCAAGCCTTGCTGCTCTTTTTTGGACATGCTCCAGCAATTCAATATCCTTTCTGTACTGAGGTGCCCAAAACTGAACACACTACTCCAGATGAGGCCTCACCAGTGCTGAGTACAGGGGCAGGATTACTTCCCTAGTTCTCCCACCACACCATTCCTGATACAAGCCAGGATGCCATTGACCTTCTTAGCCACCTGGGCACACTGCTGGCTCAACCCAGGCACACTGCTGGCTCAAATTCCTCTATATTCTTCTTCCTCCCCAGAGGTGAGGATATCACAGCCATCACAGGGACACCACGTTGCATTGCTCACTGATGGTCAGCTGCCTCAGAAGAGCATATTTCTTTACAATACTTTGCTGCCTTTTGCAGTAAAAGGAATTAAAGGTACAGAAGAGTGAGGAAAAATATGTTTTAAATTCAAAGTAATGATCCATCTAACCTAGGATTAATCATCCATTGTTGTTTTGTAGGGAGGTAATTGATCACTGTACCTACAGCATAAACTATTTGGGTGGTATTAAGTGTGGTAAATAAATAGATGATGTGGTGCTTACCCACATCATCTGGTATTCTTGGGAAATTTTCCACATACAATTGAGGATCATGAAGATGTATTCTAATTTCTACCTTTATTTTTGTTTTGTAGATGACCAGATAGTTACAGCAAACAAAATGGGCTTCATTGAGTCCAATTTGCTACGTAATTTTATTGTATGTGATTTTTTTTTTTTTTAACTTGCACACTGAAGACAACTGGTGTGAGCTTAGTGCAAAGAGATGCCACTTTCCCCATTCCTCCATACTACCTCAAGTTATTCTGTATCTGCATACCTGATGGGTGGACAGTGGACATGCCAGGAGAGCAATAAGGTTTTTGCTGGTCTGAAGGGGATAAGGATGTGTCAGCCATTCCTTGAAGCTAAGTTGAGGGAGAGGGGGCAGGAGGGCATCGTGTGCACAGGCAGCTGACAGCTGACAGCTGCTGGCTCTGCTGCCTGAACCCAATCGCTACAGTCTTCACCTCAGTACACACGAACAGGGCCAGGCACTGTGTGAGTGCTGAGCCTGTATCGCCTCATGGCTGTATTCCAAAGCCTGTTTTTCTTGGGGAATTTCACAAAGAGAAACCCAAGCATCTCCCTGCTGTTAATTATCCCATTATTTTTGAGTAACACAATACACGAGCACCTGCAGGCTGACCGATCGGTCCTGCAGAGGGAAGACCTGCTCTGCCCTCAGGTGCTACATGTACTTGTTGGGGTACAGCTGAGCTGTCTCCAGGTTTGGCTGAAACACATGGGCAGTGCACCCTCCTGCCCCCTCCTCCCAGCTCTGCACTTCTGCGGATCAGGCCTCACTGAAGCTCCCTCAGCCTGCTGACCTTGCAGCATCGCTTGGGAAGCCAAGGGTTCTGCAGGCTGAGACCCACAGGTTTGCCACATGCTACTTTCTGCTTTGTAACTCACAGGCAGGAGACACTGCGCTCCACGTGGCTGCGGCCCTGAACCACAGGAAGGTGGTAAAGCTGTTGCTGGAGGCAGGGGCTGATACATCAGTTGTCAACAATGTAAGTAGGACATGAAATTGCTTTGGTATTTTGTATTAATGAAAACTCTAGTGCTGGTAGAAGATACCTGCATGTTGAATGAAGTCTGAGTGAATGAAAGCAGCAAGTCACATCACTTTTGCACAGCGCATGTGTTGACCTCCAGTGGAGAAATCCTCCCCTAGATGTGAAACACTATCCTTTTTCCTCTCAGGCAGGTCAGACCCCACTAGAGGTGGCCAGACAGCACAACAACCCTGAGGTTGCACTCCTCCTCACTAAAGCTTCGCAGGTATGTAGCAAATGTCTTCTGTTGGCAATAAGCTCTGGCCCTGACACAGGTGGGGCTGAGGGTTGGAAGTGGAGCACTTGGTCAAACGCTGCAATCCTCTGCCTCAGAACAGCGATGTGCCCTGATGCACCGAGCTCAGGAGTGGTGTTTCACAGCCATAAATGCCAAGCACTACTTGGCCTATCAGCATGCATCTGGGAGTGCTTTCTCCTTTATATGTTGCCTTTTAGTAGAAGTGACAGCAGGTCTGCTTTATTCTTAGCTTCTGGTCAGGAAGAAGCATGACATTTCTGAGTAATGGTTCTGTCTGCTTCCAGGTCTCGCGTTTCAACCGTGGAAGAAGCCTGAGGAAGAAGAGGGAGAGGCTGAAGGAGGAAAGGCGAGCTCAGTCAGTACCACGGGACGAAGTGGTGCAGAGCAAGGTACAGCCTGGTGTTACCACTGCACCTCCAGAAGAAAGGGAGCAGGAACAAAACCCACTGGGACAAAATCTCTTTGGCTCTGCCACTAGTGCATGGTAGCAGCAGCTCTGTGTGGGACAGCCTGAGGAGTCTGGGGGAGGTCTGCAGTGCTTTGCTGTCAGTGAGATGCTGCAGGTTGGCAAGTGGAAGAACACTCACCTTTTCCCTGTTTCTGCCTTTTCTTTGCACAGGGCAGTGTCTCAGCTGCTGACGACACACAGAGCAGCGACCAGCCAGTGCAAGGGAAGACTGAGCTGAAGGATGAGCCTCGGTCAACCTCCCCGGATCCCAAGGGGAAGAAGAACAAAAAGAAAAAGCCAAAAGAGAAGGTATCGGTAGATTTGAAGCAGCAGAGAGAGAAAGGATCATTGCTGGGTGCAGCTGTCCCTTTGGTGTGGTGTGAGCCAGGGCACCAGACCTTTCGTGCTCAGAAGCCGAGGTAGCCTTCTGACAAAACTGGTTTCTATGGGGGAAATCCTCTTGTTGAGGCTAACATTGAGGCTTTGTAATAAATCAGGCTGTTGTCCTGACAAATACCTCCACTGTGCAGTCACTGCGGATGGATTTGTGCTGTAATTAGATTTTTGCTGCTGTTATCACAAGAAGTTTGTCCAGTTTCCTCCAGGAATGGTTTACCTTATAAGGAGCCAGTAATTAAGGAAACTGTTGTGTGTTTTATACAGGCTTCTGCGCTCTCAGACCCCATTTCCCCAGCTGACCAGCAGACACTCCCTCGGCCCCAGCAGAACGTGCCCAAACGCAGAAGCAGACATCACTGCTCCTCTCCGCCTGCTCCCCACGAGGTGCGGGCCTACCAGCTGTACACACTGTACCGGGGCAAGGACGGGAAGGTGATGCAGGTGAGTGTGCTGTGCTCTCATAGGGATGTGCTGAGCAGCACCTGCAGTGGACACAGCTAGGGGATCAGATGGCAAATGCTCTTCCTTCCAGCTACACTTTCAAGGGTATAAGATAATGGTAGTGGATTTCTTTTCCTTGTTCAGGCGTCAGATGTATTTTAGCATGAGGTGTGGTAAACAACAAGCTGATGTCATATGTGCTAAGGAATAGATCATAGAATCACTGAAGGTGGAAAACACCTCTAAGATCCACTAGTCCACCCTCAGCCCATCCCTACCGTGCCCACTAACTGTGTCCCTCAGTGCCACATCCACACGGTTTTTGAGCACCTCCAGAGATGGTAACTCCAGCAGCACCCTGGGCAGCCTGTTCCAATGCTCAGTAAGTTTTTAGAGACAATGTGTGAAACAGTGATTGGGAATAGCACTGGAATTTCCACGATACATTTTGAAAAACTAAGATTTCTGTCAGCAAAGACAAAGAGCTTTTCCAGTGAAAATAAATGAATGTACTGTATGTGCACTGATGTTTGCTACTTAAACTCAGCGCTTGAGTGCACTCAATACATTCTGTTTCAATTCTTTGGAGATTCTAGTATTACTGGAAGCAGTAGCTATACAAAAATTGGTTCACAGACAGGAGTAGCAGCTCAAGTATGTTTATTCACGTTTAGAGATGGTTATTTTACTCCACTGAGTGTATTTTGTTCTGCAAACATTTATCAGCATAGAAGCAGCATAGAATCAGACAGCAGATTAACCTGTAAACGTTGCAGACTTCTGTGTTGTTGCTTTCCAAACATTGTCCTTTTGCACCTCTGGGAAGTCTTCTTTTCATTTTATTTGCTTCTTACATCCATTCACAGTTAATTGTTTTCCCTTGCTATATTTAAGAAGTTCAGAAGATTTTGAAGATGACTCAAGTTGGGTTTCAGAGGCTTTATTTGCCATGTTTTCCAGCATCTCCTTGGGTAACACAGGAAATTTCCAGGCAAGGGTATTATGGGATTATCCTAATGGCAGGTATTGGGAAGGAAGGAGGACTTCTCTGATGCTAAGACAAGGATGTCCCTGCCTGTATGGTGAGAAAATGAGCAGGTAGAAAAGTAGAAGGGAACAGATAGGACTTGTACACAAATCTGATCTATTTACAGAGATTAGCATAGTACAGCTAATTCCCTAATGGCATCTCCTGAAACACACAGCACTTCTCTCTACCCTTCTCTTTGCTTGTCTGTCGTCTTTGATACCCTTAGGCCCTGAATAGCAAACAGAACTTAAGTACATTTCTGAAGCTCTCTCTAGCACACCACACCCACCTTCCTCTGTCCAGGGAACAGTCCCTGCTCTGTGAAATGGCACTGTAGGGCCAAAGGAAAGAGGGAGGCTGTACTGCAGACATGCATCAACAGAAATCAGACTCCATACAGTTCAGAATTACAGCTCTTAGAGCAGGATACAGGTCTGTGAGGTGATACCTTCTCATATGACACACAGTGCCACAGGATATATGATCTGACCTCACTGCTGCTTTCTGCCCCAGCACTGAGGTTTGTTCATACAGATGAGATCAATCCTCTTCTCGTCTGTATTTTTCCAACTGAATGTGCTGTTTGCTGAGCTGTAAGATATGATCAGGAGGATGAGATACAGTACACAGTATGGAACAGTCCAGTGCTGACTACAGAAAGCTGTGGTAATGTTTCAGGTGCACTGAGAGGACAGTGGGATGTAGCATGTAAACTTTTTATTCCTTTCAGGCACCGATAAATGGATGTCGTTGTGAGCCCCTGATAAATAAACTGGAGAATCAGCTGGAGGCAACCGTGGAGGAGATAAAAGCTGAGTTTGGGACTGTACAAGATAAGATGAATATTAAGCTAGGCCAGATGGAAAGTAAAACTCAACATCAAGTAAGAATATGACCCACATGATCATTAGAAACATATCCTAAGTGTAATCAATATTTTCATTGTCTCGGTTTGCTCATTGCTTTTTCTGTTGTAAAAATGAGGCTGAAATGTAATACTCAAGACCAGGGAACTGTGACATTCTACATGCATCTAACATTGCAAGCCATGGTCTTGAGAAAGAGCATTAAATGGGTAAGTGGCTTCAAGTGCTTCTTTGGACAATAATCCTAAACTGATTGAGGCTCTAAGAGAGAAACTTAAAAGACCAAACACTATCCTACACCTGGTTGTTTCATAATTGTAGAAATCCCTTTTGTTGAATTGCTTACGCTGATGTTCAAGATCCTTGAAATTATTTTTAATGTAATTTTTATTCATCAGGTAATTTTGTGATTGAACCTTTCTGCAAGCTCGCAGTTGGCAACATTCCTAGAAATGAAGACTGAAAGACAGAATGTGCTTTGACTTCCAAGGCTCTCAGATGGAGGTTTTGTTTTTCAATGCGATCGCCTCAGCTACATTGTGCTTTTCCCACAGCTCCGTGTTTTAGACAAGCTTATGGCTGAGCGGCTGTCTGCAGAGAGAACAGAGTGCCTTCATCGCCTGCAGCAGCACACCGAGCTGGAAAAAACAGAGGGAGAAAAGCGGCAGGTAGGGCTTGTGGTGCTGCTCACTGCTAGTTGTCATGAACAGCTTGGGAGCTGTGTTCCAGCAGGCTGAGAGAAGAGTGGAGATTTACACAGGCAGACAGTGATAAGACAAGGGAAAATGGCTTTAAACTAAAAGAGGGTAGATTTAGGTTAGATGTTAGGAAGGAATCCTTCACTCAGAGGGCAATGAGGCACTGGTACAGTCTGCCTAGAGAAGCTGTGGTGCCCCGGCCCTGGAGCCACTCAAGGCCAGGTTGGATGGGGCCCTGGGCAGCTGAGCTGGTGGACGGCAGTGCCCACAGTGGGGGGTTGGAACTGGGAGGGCTTTGAGGTCCCTTCCAACCTCATCCATTTTATGATTTATGTAAAACCTGGTGGAACGGGCAAAGGAACTTCAAGGAACAGATTATTCCTGTTTACCACCTGAATCTTTTAGACCAAACATACAAAACTTTTGCAATAGAAGTGGGCAAAGTGAACCCAGTCTGACCGTTGTAATTGAATTTTGTGGGATATCTACCAAGGACGTTTGTAGAAATTCCTACAACTAATTTTTTAACAGTTGATCTTCAGCTTTCACTTAATAATAGGATGCATTTAGGAACATCAGCAAATAGTAACAAAGCCATTAGATGCATATTGTTTCCTTTACTTCTCATTTGGTTGTGTGTCCTGGAAATCTTCTCCCCTCTCAGCCTGATCTGTTTTACTCCCCATGTACTAGAAGGCTGCAGTTATTCCCCCTGACACTGGCAACAGTACACCATCTCTAAGCTGTGTATTGCTGCCAGTAAGCAAGTTCTTTTTATATGCTTGTTTAACCAATGTTACAAGAGAAACTGTTCCAATAGAGATCCAGTATCCAATAGAGATCCTCTTCTCCCTCTAGCTTCTGCACAATCTCACCATTAAAGCAGGGTGAGAACATTGTATTTATCTACTCACACATACAATGTTTTCTCACTACCATGTTTCTTCTAAGAATTAAGAAGTCAATACACTTTGTACTGGTAAAAGGTAATGACTTTTTGTAAGAGGATTCTGTACACCTGTTATAAGGTGGGCTGCTCTGACAACCTCATAATAAACTACTAATTAAGCTACTTTGTCTTACACTCACAAAACATTTTTCTCCAAAGAGAAGTACTTAGCAAATTTTAAAAACTTTAGTTTTTATTTTGTAGTAAGAGATGTTTTAAATTGGCTTCTGTGAATGTCTAAGCCATTCAAGAAAGGAGTGATGTATCATGTGAATCAAAATGACCATTTAGTTGCATCACCTGCTCGTGTTCTGCTGAGTCTAACTGAAGCTACTGAAAAACTGAGTTGGCTTTTTCTAGATATGTGGACTAAATACATTTTCATGCACATAAACTGACATAAACCTGACCTAAACTCACAGTTCCATGGGAAAAATGGGGAGAAGACCTGCTCTTTACTAAAAGGATCACTGGCAAATGCCTCCACAGTTGACGCTTAACTAAGCACCTTTGTAATTTAACAGCTGTTAGTAATGTGTCATTTAGTGTTGGACTCATCACCAAATGAACAGAAAAGTAGAGGTTGGTATAAAGCTGTGTCCCTGAAGTGTCTAATTTGAATTTCCCTCTTAGAAAAAGGGCAGTTCTGAGCACTTGGCGCTTGTACTTAGAAAGCACCTTTATGATTATCAGATCAGTCTTGATCAGAGGACTTATATGAATGGTCTACTTTAAATGCAACTCTGAAAGGTAGTACCTTGGACTAAAGAGGTGCCTTTCATCAGCAAATATGTAGTTACTCATCTTTTCTGATTTGCAGCCCTCTAAATACTCCCCAAAGCTGCCCAGGGAGTCTAAAGCCGCTGATACCAGGCTAGGTTCTCTTTGTCCTTGCTGCATGTTCTTAGCAGTCTGTGAATCACAGGATCACCCAATGCGTCTTCTCTTCCTCACAGATTTCCTTGGTTGATGAGCTGAAGACTTGGTGCATGCTGAAGATTCAGAATCTGGAACTCAAGCTTTCTGGAGATTCCAGGTCATCAAGACCAAAATCAACTCTGTCCACATGCGAGTCTCTGCCTGAGACACTGGACACTGAGAACAACCCCCACAGTGCCAAGGACTGCAGAGCCACCCAGCCCCTGCTGCCTGCTGAGGGCTCTCACCAGCACTCCTACATGGCGCTCCCAAACAGTCTCTTGGAAGATGGGGGAAGAAGCAGAGTCCCAGTGCCAGAGCAGAGCTTTGCACAGCAATTCTGCGTTCAACAAGATGGCACCTCAGGTACAACCTTGTCAAGTACTTAGGTATCATAGTTATTCACAGGTGAACTGTTTAACTGAGGGATCCTTTTATTATCTAACTATATCCTGGGCTGCATTAAAAAAGGAGTGGCCAGCAGGAAAAGGGAGGTGATTTTCCCCCTCTCCTCTGCTCTGATGAGGCCCCAGCTGGAGTACTGCATGCAGGCCTGGGGCCACCCGTACAGGAAGGACGTGGAGCTCTTGGAACAGGTCCAGAGCAGGGCCACGAAGATGAACAGAGGTCTGGAGAACCTCTCCTGTGAGGAAAGGTTGAGGGAACTGGGCTTGTTTAGCTTGGAGAAGGATCCAGGGAAACCTCATTGTGGCCTTCCAGTACTTGAAGGGAGCATATAAACAGGAGGGGAATGACTGTTTGCGAGAGTGGATAGTGATAGGACAAGGGGGAATGGTTTTAAACTGAGACAGGGGAGGTTTAGATTAGGTAATTGGAGGTTTTTTCACCGAGGGTGGTGACACCCTGGAACAGGTTGCTCAAGGAAATTGTGGATGCCCCATCCCTGGAGGCATTCAAGGCCAGGCTGGATGTGGCTCTGGGCAGCCTGGTCTGCTGGTTGGCGACCCTGCACATAGCAGGGGGGTTGAAACTGGTCATTGTGGTCCTCTTCAACCAAGGCCATTCTATGATTAATACCATAGATACTAATTCTGTCTGTGTGCTTTCTCCCATCTATATGCACAGTGTTTTGGGAACAGACAACACTTGAAGGCACAGCCACTGAGAATATTTTGATTAATATTACACTGACTCTTCTCAATGCTGCCACTTTATGTTTGAAACCAAGACCTTTTATGCTCTGAATAACTTTATCTACTGAAATTTCTCCAGCTTCCCAGTCAGAATTATGCACAGATTCTTCAGTAGGCTGGATAAAGTGTATTGCATTTAAGTGCTTTTCAGATATGTGGATCCAGTAATGGTAGGGTCCAAGGATGTGAAACTGAAATACACACTTCCCTTGTTAGTATATAAATTATAGGGCTACAGAATAAATCTCTTTTTCCACTTTTTAATTATTAGTTCATTACGGAACTGGAAAAGAAACACCATAGTTGAGAACACTAGATCTATTCAGGGATCATGACCACCTGAGGACCTGCAAGACCTTGGTTCAAACAACTTCTCTGATCAGGGAAGCTCCTTAGGAAAAAAGAAACAGGAAGAGCACAGTTCCAGCTCATGTCTCCAAATCCAAGGAGAGTTTCTTTAATATACGTGGTATAAACCCCCCAAAACATGACTTAAAGAGCACGGACATGGATGTTGATACCCTACTAGACAAAAAAGGCATAGGACTGTAGAGATCTTGCAGTAGAACTAGCGTAAGCAGCATCAAAAGTTGTTGTCTTGGCAACATTCATAGGGTTCCAAGTTTTGTAGAAGGATGGGATTGATAAACATCAGCAGACACATACGACTATAGGAACCTAGCCTGCTCTTTGCATGTGTCCTTTTGTGAAGACCTTTGATCTGCAGTAGTCTGTGCAGTGCCTCTCTCTCTCTAAGTCTCTTTTATCTTCATGGTCAGCCAATAGAATAATGTGATGAACTAATACAAGCCTTTACAGCGTATGCATAATATGATGCATGGGAAATTGCACCATAGACCAGACACCTTAGAATACAAGGACTTTTGAATACTAAAGTGCTCAGAGCTTTTCTAAATATATATTTTTGTTCTATAGGTGCAGAGCAACAGTTAACTGTTGCTGGACCAGTACAGTCTTCAGTCCCTGCTCAAGATGTCAGGCCAAAGGACAAAGCCGTTAGTGCCAGCACATTCCATAGGTTCCAGCAGGAGCTGCCCTCCTCTGAACTTTTGGGGTCCAAATCAAGACATGTTCGGGTTCAAGCTGCTTTGCAGCCCTTGAGTGAACCTGCAAAGACGGAACCACAGAGCTGCTACTTCCTCAACAAAGGAACTCAGACAAAGAAATCCAGCAAAAGTGGGCAGTCGAGGCACAAAGCTCTGCACCACACAGGGGTGCCCCAGAACCAGGAGCAGCAGCACTCCACTCTGCCTGTAGGCCAGTCACTGGGCCCCGCGCTCAGAGACACCTCACAGGCACTGGAGATTACGCAGTACTTCTTTGAGGCTGTTTCCACTCAGATGGAGAAGTGGTATGAACGCAAGATTGAAGAAGCCAGGTGCCAAGCTAATCAGAAGGCACAGCAGGACAAAGCTGCGCTTAAGGAACATATCAAAAGCTTGGAAGAGGAGCTCAGTAAATTAAGGACTAAGATGCAGAAAGAAAGCTAGCATTCACCAAGCAGGCCAAGTCAAGCAGCAGGGACTGGTTTTGGAACCTGCACAGGAATCTGGAGTATCGATACATATTGATACATATTCGTAGTGCCTGATACACCCAAGCAAAATGCTCTTTTTTGGGGAGGAACAGAAGTAACTTTGGAAACTCCAGAACCAAGGAGACTTCATACTCAGACCGTACCGATGACACTGAGATGCTGCAAATGAGATCCTTTCTTTGTTATTTCCCAGAGTCCGTTCATTATCGCACTCTCAATTTTCAGGTGCTGCTTGGAAACAAATTGCATTAAAAACCAAAATTGCTTTCAGAAAAGGGAATTTTCTTATTTCCACATAGGTCATATGTGACCGGGTTCCACTACGTGCCACACGTAGATGTGGTACTGACATTAAAATAAGTCCAGGAGGGCGAGATCTTTCGACTCGGTCAGAAGTGATTCCTCAGTGATGAAGGGCTGTTGATATTACTTCAGATACTTCCCAGGGCCTTTGGAGAGATACTGCAGAACCACCTCGCAGTACAAGCGTAACGCAGGGGAATGATGCAGGTTTCCTGCTGGCAGAGGCCAGGCTCCCATTGTGTGAGACATCGAGGTGAGTTGTCCTGTTCAGTAGGCTTCTGTGGCCATGTTGCTTTTCTTTTGGTTTACATTATTAAAACAAATGCTAAATGAGGCTGTTCTACTGGTATCATACTGGCAGAGCTTCCTGTGGCTGGTTACACTGCTGGAGGAGTTTTGTTTAGGGCATGGATGACAGATACTGCACTGTAACTATGCTGTACTTGTTATGCATAATTGTTACAGAAATCTCTTTTCCTTCAAGCAGCAAATGTCTGACTTCTATACTCACACTGAAGAAGTCTGAAAGAAGTCCTTTATCAAAGAGGTGAAAGCTTGGCTCCCTGTATGCATGTTTCTTTTCTGAAGGGTCACAATTTTCTCCCATGGGCTCTGTCAAGACTTTCTGCCCTTGTTCCTCTGAATGATTCTGCTCTGTTTTTCCCCGTGTATCTTTAAAGCTGGGCCCTGGTGGATCTGCAGATCATAGATTTCACAGTTCCACAAAATAGAACTCAACAATGTTTTTAATCGTTTATGGATATTTTGCAACAACAACAAAAAGAAATGAACAAATTTGCAATGACTGCTTTTGGCCAAGCTGATGGCCTTCAACTTGTAATTCACAGAGTGTTGTTTTCAATTGGGTTGACTAAATTCATCATCTGTATCTGAGTCCTGGTGTGCTATGTGTTGCATAAACTAGAGACACCATAAACTCGTATCTGCATCCCTATGAGGTTTCCTCCTCATGTCTCTGGGAAGGTTCCATCAGATTCTCTTGATATGAGTTTACTGAGTATGTCACAGTGGGACAACTGTACAAAACCAATTCTGAAACAAGATGGTACCATTATGCCAAGCAGAAAATAAGGCTTTTTTTTCTATACCGTGGAGCCCTAAAAACAAAAATACAAAATTCAGTATTGATGATACCATTAACAAATCAGTAATTAAGCTTTTTGTCGTCCTAGCAAATGTATAAAACAAAGAAAAATTGTATAACAATATTTTAAACAAATTCCTCTTAATGCACTATCAAGAAAAGTGTACGTGTATTATGGAAACACTAGTTTGATTGCTCTGACTTCCATAGTCATATAGACACTTTCATATGTTTACAATTTTGTTTAAGCTACTGTAGAAACACAGAAGCATGCTATTTAAGTTTTATATCACCTTGATAAAGTGACTGTTTTGCCAAGTAATTAAAATAAATGTTGCTCAGAATTCCTGTGTGGCAGTGTTTCCTATCCAGAGAAAGCAAAGTCTCCTCACCTGAATCAGAGGAGGAAGCAGAGAACTGGATTTCCAATTCTAAGCCTTTGTGTCTGTGCCTATAAAACCTGGGAGCCAGACCTGCCAGCTACAGTACAGACAACAGTAACCTGCTAAAGAAGGAACTAGAAGGATCCTTATATGTGTTGGAGTTGCATTATCACAGATGTCACCACTTCACCAGGCTCCAAGCTCAACCAGCACTACAGCCTCTGAAATTCTGAGATACCCAGTTTTCTTTAAGCAACTTTAGGGACCCAGACAACACCATCAGTCACTTTACCAACAGCTGGGACAAGAAAACGACACTCAGGATTGTCATTATGACAGAACTGCAACCTTGTGCAGTCAAAGCATGATTTTGGAATCCTGACTTCTACTGCTTTAATAATTTGAAATCATACTTCTTAAGGCTGACCTGTGAGATTGTGGGATGTCCTTGTGACTTTTTCTGTAACAGAACAAGCAATACAGATTATGTCATTTACTCTTTTCTGGTTTATTTGCTGAAGCACAACATTAAAAGAATGTGCTGTCAAAGGCTGCTGGTCACTACTGGCTCTTCCAGCACAGATTTTCAAATAGTACTATTTGAAAAAAAAACATCTTTTTAGAGACCAAACTAGAAAAAATGACTTGTTTTTCTGAATGGAACTTCTGTTTATACCTGGGAACAACGGCTCTGTGAGTTACTTCAGAGAGCAGAACAGCACAAAAGAGCTGTCTGGAAGAGCAGCAGTAAAATGGGCTCCCTATGTCTCTTGTCTCAGTAAAGCTATCGTGTTAACGACAAGGACTGCAGGAGTGCACAGTTCATGGAGTTATGGATGCCACAAGGAAAATGCTCATTTTCACTTGTTTTTTGTTTTTTTTTCTCCCACTAAATATCAACTGTAGAGAACCAAAACTATAACGCTTGCACTGAGAATGTGGATGCCCAATCTGTGGAGGCATCTCCAGAGGGTGATGGACAGTACAGGCTGCCCAGAGGAGCTGTAGATGCCCCATCCCTGCAAGAGTTGAAGGCCAAGTTGGATGGAACCCTAGGCAGCCTGATCCAGTGGGTGGGTGGCAGCCCTGCCTCTCTACCAGAAAGTGTTAACAAAATACAAATTTTTAGCAAAATATTTATAAATACATATCTTTCACTGACTGATTTAGAAGCTGAAAGGCTTCTGACTATACAATCCCCAACACTCTCACTGGTTGCCAGAGCCACATCTTTTGTCAAATAAACTCCATAGGAAAGCATTCCACATTAACTTTCACAGAAAGGAAGAATTAGAAAAAAAAAGACATATGATGAAACATTGTTTTACCATCTTTGGTTTTCATTTATTTATCCCATATACTTCTGCTCTCTTAATTCATAAGAAAGAAATCCCTAGCACTGTAGAGAAAAGGCTGCTACCACCACAGATGTTACCACACAGAGGTACCACAGCAGGAGAGAGACAAAATAAGCAGGCTTCTATTTATCTTTCATCTCTCTAGAGAAATACTGCTGTTGTAATTTTGGGGGCTTTCTGCTTTTCCTAAAGGACGTGCTCCATCATCCATTCAGTTCTTTTAGGCCTTCTGCCTCTGAGCGACTTCCACATTGAAGAGTAACCGAGCCAAGAAGGGGAAAATAAAAAAAAACCAACAATCCAAACCCACTGTGGTAGATCTACCTTCAGGTATTATCAAGACATCACCAAAGGCTGCTATTATAACCACATTCTGGACAAAAATAATACTGTGCTTATTTGCAGCAGATGAAAATCCAGCTGTCAGCACAACCGCACTCAGGACTTGGCCAACTTCAGTGCTCTCTGAAGTTCCCGCAGCTGCATGTGGCCCTGAGTAATCATCATCCGGATTGCATCCTGGAAAACAAAAATTGAGTCTCCTGAACTGAAGGAACATACACTGGTTTTACAAGACTGCAAGGACTTTTATGCAGCACTTTACGGCATGTTAACTAACACTACAGTCACTGACATGGGTAAAAAAACAACAATGAATAATTAATCAGAACGAGCAGTATTTCCACCAACATTACATTTCCCTTAGTACTGTTAGGCTTTGCAGAACTCAGCCACCAACTCCTTAAGCGTTGCTCAGAAAAAGGAACTAAGCAGAAAGCAGAGGACAAAAAGCACACAAGAAATGTGAAGGTTTCCATAATTTCTGCTCATGTACCCAGCTGTCCAGTTGTGTTTGGTTTTGCTTACAATTGAAGTCAGAGAAAAAGAACATCAGCACCAAGGAACAAAAGGATGCTTACAGGTTCCTGCAAGCCTGGCTGTGATGCTTGCAAACAAAACCGCAGCACAGCCTGGAGCACAGCTCATGGCAGGGGACTGCCAGCTCCCACTCCTCACCTCTTCTGTGGCATCTTTATTCCTCCGGAACTCCTCCCGCGCCCACTCCTGCAGATGGCGGCGGTCTGCCTCAGCAGGGACGTCCCTTATGGCCCGCAGGATCCTCCTGTACAGCTGCAGCACCTGCTGCCGCCTCAGGAACTGCAGAACAGAGGTCAGCCTGCAGCCCTGTGCCAACAGCCCTGCACTGCTCTGAGATCAGTGCAAAGCTCCCTGTCTCCCTTTTAAAGGATCTAACTTTACTTTGGCTTGCACCAAAGAAACTTAAATTTCATACAAACAGACAAACAAGCCAAACTCATTATGGCATTTGCAGCCATCCCAGGCAGGGAGGCCACCACCACCTCAGTGCCTGCTGCCCAAGGCGTTCCTGGTGCCAGCAGCCACCTCCAGTGTTCATGGAATCAGGGGATCACCACAGTTGCAAAAGACCTCTAGGATCACCTAGTCAAACCATCAGCCCACCCCCACCATGCTCACTAACCACGTCCCTCAGTGCCACATCCACACGGTTCTTGAACACCTCTAGGGATGGTGACCACACCACCTCCCTGGGCAGCCTGTCCCACTGCCTCACCACTCTTTCGGAGAAGAAATTTTTCCTAATATCCAACCTAAACCTCTCCTGGCACAACTTAAGGCTGTCACCTCTCATTCTACTGCTGTTACCTGAGAGAAGAGGCCAATTCCCACCTCACCACAACCTCCTTTCAGGTCATCATAGAGAGCAATGAGGGCACCCTGAGCCTCCTCTTCTCCAGTCTGAACAACCCCAGTTCCCTCAGCTGCTCCCCGTAAGTCGTTGTGTTCCAGAGCCCTCACAGCTTTACTGCCCTTCTCTGGACGCACTCCACAGTCTTGATGTCTGTCTTGCAGTGCGGGTCCCAGCACTGAACACAGTACTGGAGCTGCGGTCTCACCAGAGCTGAGTACAGAGGGACGATCACTTCCCTGCTCGTGCTGGCTGCACCATTTCTTGGTACAAGCCAGGCTGCTGTGGGTCTTCTTGGCCACCTGGACACACAGCAGCCTCGTGTTCAGCCACGCACTGACCAACAACCCCAGCTCCTTTCCCACACCTCGCTGCTGCCATCTGCTTCCAGCACAGGGCTCTGCCTTCCCCATCGGTTTCCCACTGCAAAACCAACATCCACACACAGAAAAACAGCCTTCCCTTAGCCCTATACACGGGGAAAAAAAACCAAACTGCACATGAAGCGGCCGAGCCACCTCCCCGCGGCGGGGACACGCACGTACATTTAAACGCTGGACCGCAACACCCACCAGGCCACCAGCGGCCGCTGCGGAAGCGTAGCGCTCCCACTCCGCTTCTCCGACCCCGAGAGCTGCCCGCGAGCACAGCGCGGCCTCAGCAGCCGAACCCCCCGCCCTACTCGCGGCGAAGCTCTGCGCCCCCGTGCCGCCTCCAGGCGGGCGAGGGGAGACCCGAGCCGCACGCTCGTACCTGCCGCAGGGTGAGGGCGCTGGGCGGCAGGCGGCCGGCGGCCATGGCGCACGGCTCCGCCTTTTCCGGCCCGGCGGGCGGGGCGCAGCGGCCGCCATTTGCTGCGCCGCCGCGTCCCCGGAGGCGCCCCGGAAGTGAAGGCGGCGGGTGCTGGAGTCGCATAAAACAGAGTTGCATCTTCACACGGAAACTCAAGGTTTGTGCACTGCAAGGGAATGCTCTGTGGCAAATTTCGGTAATTTATTCAGGCTTTGTTCAACAGAAAGGACAGGACAGACCTCATGACTACAAAGCGGTACCTTTTTATTAGTACAGACTAGATAAGATGCATAGCTTCTGCAACAAAAACCATGTCCGTGCTTAAAGACATCTGATCAATGAAAACGCCCTCAATGTCTGCCTCGGACACAGGCAGACTTCACAGTGTCACCTGGTAGCGCAGGGATTACCGTATGGCTTGATCCACAGAGCTCCCTGTTGCTGTTATCGAGACAAAAATCGGCTACAGCTACACAGGATTTGTTTTAACTGCAGAACGTTTTCAAGTATTCAAGTACTTTTTTTTTTTTTTTGGTTGTTTAAAACCACCGGCTTTCCCCATTCCTCCTGCCTGCCTCCCAGAGAGCTGCCTGGGTGAAGCTGAAGAGCCCTTTTTGTGAGACAGCGCGAGTACTTCGCATACAGAAATGCCTTCCAAGAAGCAAGACTGGTATTTATTGCAACAGATACTGGTAGGAATTATTTTACCCCTGTGAACATTGCAATACAGTTTTTCTCTTAAGTATTAAATTATTACAAAAGAAATCAAAGGAAGTTTTACATTATTTAGGGAATACCCAATGAAAGAAGAACAGTCTCACCACTGAGTAATCTCTGACAAATGTGAGAGAATACATATGGACCGTTCTGTTTTCAGGCTGACTGCCAGAGGGCAGCTCATGTGCCTTAATCCTGTCCGAAGAGATTCCTAGGAACCCTCCAATGAAATGCTGTTCCATGTATTTCAGCAGGTTAGCAGCAGTAAGGTACTTGCTTTGTCTACAAGGTGTCCGAGGCAGTCACCAGTTCAAACCACTGCCTGAGGGCATCACTGAGAGTTTCTGGAAGAGCATTTACATCTCTCAGGATCATGTAGAATGGGAATGGAAATTCCTCCATGTAAGATCTGATTTCGGGCAATTCTCCAGGTCCTCTGAATATAGGTACTTTAATGTCCAGGATGGAATCCTGTAAAAAAAAGAATTGACGGGACTGCTGAACTACATGCATTGTTTATAAATGTTTGAAAAATGAGGTAATTTCACCTCTCTTAAATTAAACATTAATAAAAAGTTTTAATCTTAAAAGCTGTGTTAAACGATAAATGAAATCAAAAGCTTAACATAAAGCAGTTCTGTGTTTTTATCAGGTTAAATTCCAACTGTGCTTCTTATAAAGGAGCTTCTTAGATGATCAGTGTAGCAGTTCAGGAAATTAATAATAACTCTTGTGAAAAATGCATTTCACTACTCAAAATTCTAGCTTGCCATCATAACTAGGATTAATCAGAGCATCATAATTGCTTATAAGAAAGGTTTTGCTTTTTTTTTTTTCTCCCCAACAGTAAATAGAGCAAATGAGTTTCCTATGGGAAAAATTAGAAAGTGTAAGTAGAGAACTTTCACTACAAAATTAGAATCTTCACCACATAATTCAAAATAAAGTTCAAGTTTGCTTACATGACAGAGCCTCCCTGAAAAGCTTGCAGATATTTCAGCTTCCCAGCCAAGGAAATCTAAACCACTTATTTCCTACTGCATATTAAATATGGAGTTCAGCTTTCTCAATTCAGGCACAGCTCTCACATCTCGTCTGTCTGATGTTTAATTTCATTCTGGCTCCAGCTCTCATACCAAGCAGAGACTGCTGCCAGAAGTGATCATGTGAACCAAAACTGAGGTAGAACAAACCATCTCTGAAATTCTGAATCTATCAGCCTGCCAGTTACTTCTCTGGTAAAGAAAATCTACAACCATTAAGATGGCAGTTTCTATTTAGAATTTGTGATATGGAAGCTGATTTTTTTTTTTCTTTAATATAAAACAGGATGAATGTCACAATTAGGAGAAATCCTAGATGACTTGAGAAATGAAAAACTGAAATTGGCCTAAATATGTTTGACTTCTGCAAAAGATAACACAGTTGTAAAGCACTACAAAGGCAAGAAAACAATTTGTTTCCCTTCTCACTCACATCACTTGAATACTTCTCCCTTGTTCACACGCTTACCCGGGAATTGGGATTGTCCAACACTACGAAAATCACAAAGATGTTGGCATTCTGAGCTGCTTGGACTGCTGCTGTCACTCGTTCCTTGCCTTCCAAGAAAAGGCCTCTTCCATCAGAGACAATCAAAAGCAGCTGTGCAGTTTCTGAGCACAAAGAATATTTTAAATTCTAGCCAGTTAAAAGTAAACCATTTAAACAGCAAACAGACTACTTTGTTGCTAGTTCCATGAGTATAATGGAAAACCCCTCAATTTTCCTATGGAATTTAAATCTTAATCGAATAGAAATCTGTGACATAACATTAAGCTGCTTATGAGTAGGTCAAGAAAGGAGTTTTCTCCCCTCTGCATAAAAACCACTGAGAACCAATCCCTAAGTACCATAAACAAAGATGAAAGACATAGAAAATACCCAACAAACAGCCACAGCATTCTCTTTCTTGACAATTGGCTGCTGCAATTAAATGGAAGGAGTTCAAAACTACTTCAAAATCAGGTATCTACAGGCGTGTCTACACTTAGCATTTCATTCTGGACAAAGACTGGTTTTGAAGGCTGTTTCCCTGTTGTTCTACATCACAGAGGAATGCTGGAGTGCACAAAAGGGATTACTTTTGGATGAATCTGAACAAACATGCCTGTGTCCCTTGCAAGCCTTTCTGGCAAAGCATTACTTCAGGACTGTAGTGAACATTCTGCTGACACAGCAACGAGAACAGTCACAAAAAAGGCTCACCTGGATTCATGTTTTGAGACAGCTGCTGTGCTGCAGCAAACATACTTGATGATGATTCTAGAAACTGCAAACAAATGAGAAAATTATCATAAAATAATAAGCATATTGTAGCTTTTTAAAATAATACATTTCTGTATTTTAAATGCCAAAATAGCTTAGCTTGGCCACCTACACAGACTCATTTCTTGGCATTTACTTGTGTTAACTCAAGTTCAAACTTGATGTATACTTTTGAACTAGGGAATCTTTAGAAAACATGTCACATAACACAGTTACCTGGATTTAAAAATTGCCAGTTCTAATAAGGCCATCAAAACTTGAGTAAATTGTTCAAGTGATTAATTATGCCATTAAAAAATATACTGTTTCTTTGGCTTTGACTTGCAACAAAAGTATCTAAATTACATATGCTTCATTAAAAAGACATCAACTGTCAAATACAGCCAAATTTTGCCATTTGTAAAACTATATTTGAGGTATTTTGGTCTCCCATTTTCCATATATAGAACATCTTATTCTAGTTTGGAATGGTAAGAATGCAAATACCTTGCTAAAAGCAGAATACTTTGCTGATGTCCAGAAACTATCAGTATACAAAGCTCTTTTCAGGAAACAAGCCAGTCTGACAAGCAAAGCTCCTTCCTATTCCTACAGTGGAATCCATGTCATGAAAACCTCTTTAACTCCCATAGGCTTTGATGGGGTCTGTCACTGGGCCACTGATAAGAGCAAGATTAATACTTTATACCTTAAAAGGTTGAGACCAAACACAAACGGAGAAAGATGAATGCTTTAAAGTGATGTAAATCAGAACAGAAAGTGGGAAAAAAAAAATCCTTACTGTGGTCATTTTGTTACCTGACGAGTCATCACACACACAAATATAAACAACCCAAAAAAATTACAAAGTGATCATGAAAGCACCAAACAGCTGATGCTTCTGTTGGGGCAAAACGTGCAAACAGTGCAAACGTGCAAACCTGGTGCCCTGGAGGCATTTTTGTGTACCTGAGCTATTTTTGTTTTCTTCTGCTGAAATTTGCAAAGGCGCAGTATCCGTGTCCCTGACTGGTCACTGAACTGTTCATGGAAGGGATGCAGCAGCTGAACAGTTTCTCCAAAGCTTTGGGAAATAAGTAAATAAACAAACAAACAATAAATCAGTACTTGCATTCCCCTCTGAAATCTGAAAGAATCAACTTGTAAAATAAACTCACCTACACACAGCAATTTGTCCCACTTCTAGAAGAGTCAGTGCATTCCCAATGACTGCCAGGGATTCATATGCAAGCTATTAAACAAACAAACAAACAAACAAACAAGAAGTTAAAAAATGGGCTATTCCAGCTTTTTCCTTTAGTGTTCAATACGGAGAATGTTACTGAAATTCATAGAATCATAGAACTCTTAAGAGTTGGAAGGGACCTCTGAAGGCCACCTAGGCCAGCTCCCCTGCCATGAACAGGGACACCACAGGTGGATCAGCTTGCCCAGAGCCTGATCCAGGCGCACCTTGAATGTCTCCAAGGATGGAGCACTCACCACATCTCCAGGCAACCTGTCCCAGTGCCTCATCACTCTTATTGTAAAAAGCTTCCTTATATCCAATCTAAATCTTCTCTCTTCTACTCTGAAACCACCTCCCCTTGTTCTGTCACCACAGACCCTGCTAAAGAGCCTGTCCCCTGTGTTCTTTCCTGTAGCTCTCCTTCAGGTACTGAAAAAAATTGTTTGTCATCATCTAGTAAAACAAATGAACAGACTGTCTATTATTTTTCCTGTTACAGACTTGAGAGAGCCACTGCCATAAAAGTGCACCAATTCTATCTGAGGATTTATGCTGGTTGATTTAGATAGCAATACCACCTCAGGTGGGCTAGTGAAATAAACACTGATGTAACTGTTTTGAAGGAAACATGCATGTTTCATAAAGATCTACAAGAGATCTGTCATGAACTAATATGTAATCCTGCACAGCTAGACAAACTTCAGTATTCTGTCAGGAACAGAAAGGACCTTTCGTCTAATAAATTTCTTTCAGTTAACATTCACTGGCCTTTTAGCAACCAATCTCTGAGGCATGAAATCACAAGGGCTCAAGCCCATGGAC